CCTTCGAGATCCCATGCTTTCTTCACACTGAGCTTTTCCCACTCGACATCGAGGGACTTTTGAGCCTCGGGATTTACGCGAATCTCGGCGGCATTGACTGGCCTGGCCACTGCAGCATACATGTGTTCATGGAAACCTAGCTTGTGACGGTGCGCCTGCGACAGTCCCTTTACCGTCGGCATGGCGGGTGCCGGGTCCTCTCCCGAAAACATGATCAGTTCGGTCAATTGCTTAACTGACAGACCGGCAAGACCCTCCGATCTGCGCTGCTCCTTGGCTTCGGCGGCGGCCGCCTTGCGCTCCTGCATCGGGAAAACGAAGATTCCGTCGGGCCTCGTGATTTTGAAAACACGATGCAACTTCACAACATCATCAAAGTCCGTTTCATTCAGCTCTTTCAACGATGCTACAAGGTAGTCACCTCTCCATAGAAAGCCGGGGTGGATGACATATCCAACAAACACTCCCGGATTGGACGTGGGATCAAACTTCAAGTCCTTCTTCGGTTTCTGTCTTGGACCAATCCAGTAGTCAATTCGACATCCGAACGGCAAGAACTGACCTTTGAACTCTTCTTCGAACCTAAGATTCCACGGTGTTCTGGAACCAGAAGGTGGTTCACACACATTTTGAGATAAACACCAGTGCCTTGCGGCGTGCGGCCAGTATGAATGATTCAACCCGGCCTGTGCAAGTGCGACTCGAGTTCCCTCGAGCACGGTTCTGATGCTCCGTTCAGCCACCGCGTTGGTTTTGTGAATGTACTCTTGACTGAGGACATGTCTCCAGCCCATCTGTTCAGCTGCAGCAATTAACTCAGGGGCATTATCACTATAAAACGTGCCAACCTCGTCCGACGAGGAAGTGAAGTGCTGAAACGCCTTCACAGTTGCTTCCGTGTTTCTTTTAGCAAAAGGGTATGCATATTTGAAACCGGTGGCAACGTCACTTATGACAAGGGCAGAGTATTCATCGTCTATGCCCAGCTCCTGTTCATCCGCAGTGATTATGAAATCGGCTGTGATGTGCTCAGCAAATTTTCGAGCATCAACCTGTCTGGATCCCCCCCGCGAGCGAGAGGGAGACTTGGTCATCTTCGCGCATTTGCACACTTCGCAGAATGGATTCTTTGGCTGGTGTGTCATCAGGTGCTTTCGTGATGCTGCTTCCTGCCTAAGGGCGCTTTCTGCAAGTGACCTAGGACTTTTCTTATCAGGGTTGCCAACAACATCTTCCCCTGCCAAATCTTTACTCTCCATCGGCTCAGCAGGTTCATCTGGAACGACTTCAACGGGGTCATTCGCCAGAAGCTCGGCGACAACTCTAGCATGCACCTCAGGATCTTCTAGAGGGGCAATGCTAGGCGTATACTCTTCTTCCGCGGCGTCTTCGGTTTGCACGGAGGAGGAGTGTGATGATTCACTAGGTGCATTGCTTCTGGCGACCTGACCTTCCGGTCGGCTTGGCGGTGTGCCTTTGGCGGGACACGCCATTGCTGAGTCGCCATCCCACACGTCGTAGTATGGGACATAATCTCGAACTTTGAGATAAATTCTCGTCCCATCAGGCTTGACAAAGAATGGCTTCTCTTTTGCATGCCATATGAAGTCATAACCCTGATTCATGCACTTCAAACCTACGGAGAGAACAGAGGGTGTTTGTGGCAACAAGTATGGATCCGTGTTCCCAAGGTCACCTGCGGCCATGTTGGCCTGCTTTGACGAATCACTTGGTCCATTGGCAGTCATCAACATCACGGGATCATTTGAATCATAAATTGCATATTCGGGGCAATTTGCACGTGTAAAAAGATCAGTCCCGCTCCCAGTGTCAATAATCCATGAACAGTTCGGAGAGAATCTCTTGCTCGCCAAGGCGGGCTTTGCGCCCATGTCTCTCGGGGCGCATTGCCAGCATCCGATCTCACTGTCACATTCATAGTTGCACCTAGTCGGATGGCCTTCCAATTCACGCCTCACAATGAAGGCGAGCATGGTTGCTTCGAGTCTAGCATCATCTATGCTAACCTCATCATGGGAAAACTGATGGTCGATTGGGTAGACCTTTGGATACACGCGCGGTTTGTCCGCGATCTTAAACTGCTCACCATGTGCTGGTATCCTATTCATTTCAACCTTCGAGCTGAAACGCACGCTCGGGAGGGCAGGCGCATGCTTCCAGTCCGACATGAGGTTCCCCTCAGCGATAGGGGCGTTCATCATGGAAGACAACAAGCATCCCAACACACAAACAGCAGCAGGGGAAGGCTTTCCGGAAGACTTTCCCTTGTGACCCTTCTTCTTCTCTCCCTTGGAGTCACGGGAAGTGGATCGAGAGGTCGACTTGGAGCGATCCCTGCTCGACTTGCGATGCTTCCGGTCCTTTCCCTGCTTCTTTTGCTTGTCTGTGGAAGGCTCCCTTGACCCTGGAACGGCCGGCTTCGGATCGATGTGAGCAAATGGGCAGTTTTCACCACGGTCACATCTCCCCTTAGGGTAGAATCGGCACTCTTTCTTTCCCTTTGGGCTATTCGTTCGGCCTTTACCCTTACCCTTCTTAGGCTTAGCGTCTCTTGATGGGGTCCTACCCCTGGCATCGCCCGATGGCTGTTCATGCTTGTACGTGCAATTGTCCCGCCGACACGACCCATACTTGACAAATGCAATGCAAAACCCCTTAGGCACACGTTGGCTCTCAGCAGCGGGTGCGGCTGGCCTACCCCCGTTCTGCCTAGCAACCCGTTCTCGGTTGCGCTCGAGCCTTGCTCGAGACAGGTATTGCCTCACAGATTCAATCAAGTAGGTGTATGAGTGATCGGCGGACTCTTCCGAGGCGCTCAAATAGACATTCAAATGGTGTTGCATTTGCTTGCTCTTTTTCAGCTGGTTGTAGAACAGAGCCTCAAGCATGGAGTCATCCGGCGTCTTGGCATTCATTCCTGCAAGAACACCCTCCCAGCTACGCATGAAGGAAGTGAGGTTATCGTTCACGAGCCTCACGTTGAGGAGATCCTCCATGGCATAGGTGGCTCCGTGCTTGATGTTCGTGCTCAGGTGCTCATGCACCATAAGAAGCACTTGTCTCCCACGAACTGGATTCCTCTTCTGCGCCTCTATCTCCTTGAAGGTGTCGACTTGTCTCGCCAGGTCACCCTGAATGATGTTGGTGAGGGCGGACAGCAACTTGGCGTCCAATGTGAGGAAGGCACCGGGATCTTTGAGCTCCTCGATTGTGACGGCGGGCTCCCACACTCTGCTGATCCACGTGAAAGCGTCATCGGGGCGGTCGGATGCCGCACATACGGCTTCCCGCACCTTGATGCGCCAATTCCTGTAACTCTCAGGAAGTGGGAAGGATGGAACAACAATCCTCTCCGCCTCCTTGACCTTGGGCTTGTCATGGTCTGCGTCCACTGCGCTCGCCTGCTTACCCAAAATCTTGTTGAGCTTCTTGCGGATCACTCGTGCCTTCTCCGATGATGATGATGAGGATGATGATGTTGAGGAGCTGGATGATGAAGAGCTTGGAGAGTCGGAAGGAGACCCACTCTTTCGCTTCTTGTGGCTCTTCTTCTTCTTCTTCTTGTCCTTTTTGCTCTTCTTCTTTTTATCCTTCTTCTTCTTCTTCTTCTTGTCCTTCTTGCTCTTCTTACCATCGTCATTCCCATCGTCATCGTCATCGTCGTCGTCAGGATCATCGTCATCATCGGGATTACCGGCAGGTGGTTCCCCACCGCCTCCGCTTTGGCCATTCCCTGCGCCTGATGGACATCCGCCACCATCGTTAAGGTCCTGTGCCGGAGATGTCGGTTCGTAATCCCCGGCATCCCCGTCAAGATCATCGGCGGCACCTGGCCCGTCACGGCGGAGTTCGGTGGAAGCTGACCTGACACGTACCTTAGAACTAAGATCCAGGCCAGGGGGAGGAAACGTCTGTACAGGAGAGGCCTTTGGCCTCAGACCGAAAATCGGAACATTAGAAGAACTACTCTGCTCACTGCGAGATTTCAGTTCATGACGTAGTGCCTCAATGTCCCTCGACTGCTTCATGATAATCTCCCTCATTTCAGCAGCGTTCCTGTCCGCATCCTCCTTCTGCTTGTTGTGGGTGACCTCCCAAATCAATTTGAGCCGTTCATACTTCTGTTCAGCTTCTGAGCGTTGAGCAACCCACTGCTGTCTTGCCTCGTTAAACTCTCTTTCTTTCGCCATTGCCTCTTGTTGGCATACATTGATGTGGTTCACCGCGTCCTGATAGAGTCGGCCTCTTTCCTCAACATGGCCGGCTTGGAGCTGATTGATGATGGCGTCGTGGCGTGCCGAAGCATAGGCAGCCACTTCCTCCGTGCTCGGACCTGTGTTGACCACATTCACCGTCTGGCTGTGTTGATATATATTCGGGGCGCTCACATGATGTTGATGAAGGTGAGTCTCATTCTTAGTCATGTGCGCGTGCATCTCTTGCCCAGGTTGATGTCCGGCGAGAGGTTCCCCTCCGCTTCCCATCGAATCCTCCGGAAGAACGACCGATGTGATGGGCACAAGCGCATCACCTTGGTCGGATTCAGGAAAACTGCTTCGGGAGCGCTGTGACGGATTGCATGGCGGTTTCCCTTCCGGATGCCCACCCTTGATCAATTCGTTGGCCACTGCTTCGTTCATCCTTGCTATGGCAGGGTGGCATCCGTCGCCGCTTGACGCCATTGCGGCGCGGGTGAGAGCTGACTGTACAAGGTACCAGCGATACGGCTGATAACCTGTTGAAAGGTGGGATCTACCTAAAAGTCAGCACGGGCAGCAGCTTGTTTTTCTTGAGCCATTGTCATGTCGGTATGCCATTACCTATCAACAGTTAGTTAGGCGTTTTCTCCTGTGGGTTCTGCGGATTTCAAGACCACCAAGCAAACCTTGGCCAATCACCTCTTTCAAAATAAAGCATGTCCAAAGTGGCCAAACACGAGCCTTTGGCAGAAATTCACGCCAGGCGAACGCCCAACTGGCCTGCCATGCATGCAGAGGAACTTTTCCAGCTCCGTGTGGCCCTGGCCCTTCGCCACGCTGACTGGGGACCTGCACGGGTGACAAGGTGCAACGAACTAGAGCACGACCAACAAGCAAATGTTTGGACATTAATTTGGCAGGGGGTGGCGAGTGCGCTTATGGGCCATCCAACTAAAGACAAGTCTGCTGCTGGCCAGGAGTGACGAGCGGTGGCCATTGTGATCTTGAGCGCTTGCCCCGCTCTAAACGAAGGAATCTGGAAAATCCGTCCTTGCTCAGGCTGTCAGGATCAGCTATGAAAATCATGAGAAATGAATCATCCAATCCCTGCAAACAGCAGCAACCTCGAGGTGTTTGCAGATAGTAAAAACATCTGAGCCGCAAACTCACTGACGAAAGCACCCATATGTGGAACACTCTTAAGGCCAATATTCCGAGGAATGTGAAAGTTCCCAAGTCAATAATTGCCAGCGCCAAGTACGCCTGTGCAGACCCATTAGACATGGTCGTTTCAACAGAACCGTATCGAACCGTTACCGAATCGTATTGCGGCGGAATCGTATCGCACCGAACCGAACAAAAGTTGCCGATCACCGAGGCAAATCGATGCTCCACGCCTTTTTCGAGCTGCATTTCTTCACAGTCTGTTTTCCTTTCAACATGATAATATGCTGACAGCTCCTTGCCAGGAGAACCTGGTGTATTGGTTTCACACCTGTGCTCTGCGCGAAACAAAGTTGTAAGTTCAATTCTTGCTGGGCGTGCTTGCTGCTCAGGAGCCGGAGAAAAATCGAACCCATCGCAATGCGCAGCAATACTAGCAGTGAATCGCACCGTTTCGCACCGAAACAGCTTCAATTCCAAACAATATGAATCGATTCGAACCCAAAGAAAATGAATCGTATCGTATCGAGTGCGTTGAAACCATGTTAGACAGAAATCGCAGCTCAAGTTGACCCGCCTGCCAGCAACATCGTGGCTGAGGTAGGCTTTGGCCTCCGGCGTTCGAGGGAAAGGTCTTGACCTTCTCCGACTGCCGAGGTTTGATTGGTCCAAAGACGTGTGCTGCCATGACCTATCTCGAAGTGGCCGCCTGCGAATAGAACCTAAACCAACCAATCAACCAACCAAAGAAAGAAAGAAAGAAAGAAGGAAAGAAAGAAAGAAAAAAAGAAAGAAAGAAAACACAAACAAACAAACAAACAACAAACAGACAGACAGACAGACAGACAAACAAACAAACAAAGCAGGCAGACAAACACACAAACAAAACACCAAAGAGGACAAACAAAGTCAAACCAACCAAACCACACGCGCAACCAAACCCCTGAACACGTAAACAAACAAGCAAGCAAGCAAGCAAACAAACCCACAAACAGACGCACAACAAACCAACAAACAAACAAACAAATACACAACCAAACGGAAAAAAAAGTCAACACACACACACACACACAACAAAACAAATAAGGAAGGAAATGCCGAGAGACACAGCAAAAGCAAGGAATAAACACATAGAGGCAGAAAGACTGAAAGAAAGAAAGAAAGAAAGAAAGAAAGAAAGAAAGAAAGAAAGACAAAGAAAGAAAGAAAGAAAGAAAGATAAGAAACAAAGAACGAAGACAATAACAAAGCAACACGCACACACAAACAAACAAACAAACAAACAAACAAACAAACAAACAAACAAACAAACAAACAAACAAACAAACAAACAAACATGTAAAGAGCGAAAGACACAACCCCAGAATCACTCAATCAGGAAATAGCGCACCAAGCCAGAAGACAAACAAGCAAGCAAGCACAGAAAAAAAAGGGGGAAAAAACAATAAAACTAAGCAGAAAAGCAAGCGAGCAAACAAACTAGCAAGCAGGCAAGCACAGAAAGCAAGCGAGCGAGCAAACAAACTAGCAAGCAGGCAAGCGAGCGAGCTAACAAGTGAGTAAACAAACAAACACAAATAAGCAAACTAACAAATCAGCCAGCCACCAAGCAACCAACCGACAAGCAAGCAAGCAAGCAAGCAAGCAGGCAGGCAGGCAGGCAAGCAGGCAAGCAAGCAAGCAGGCAGGCAGGCATGCAAGCAAGCAAGCAAGCAAGCCAACCAACGAACCGACCGACCGGCCGACCATGCCACACATGACATTGCATGACATGAACAAACAACACACCCGCACATCAATGATCGCAAGCGCACTTCAAACAACTCACAAACACACTAAGGCGCACATTGCCTGTTAGCATCATGCTTCTTGCGAGGTCTGGACAAGGCAGTGCACGTATATCGTGGCAAAAACACATTTCACGACAGCCTGTTTTGTAAGACCGTTGCACCATGAGTGTTATCGGCAACTCAAGCCTTGAAGAGGAAGTTGTCAAAGTTCGGGGGCCTCTCCTTGCATTTGAGTTTCCTTCCAAAATCCGCCAGAAAATGATCACATGTCCCCCTCTCGTAACTCATGTCGACTCCAGGTCCCCAGGCATCCAAGAGCTGGCGGCACTGGGGTAGCTGGTTGGAGGCCGCGGCGAAGAAAAGAGGCGTCTGATGAAACTCGTCCTTCTGATTCACCTATGCACCCCAGCCGGTCATGTGTATGCTTCGCCCGGAGCGATGCTGAGCAAGTTATAGCTCATGTCTCAAGACCAGCCATGACTTGTGGCGTGATTGTATTCATGATATTGTTTGTTCATCTCGGGAATGCAGCCCTGCCATGTGGCAATGGCAAGGACTTTGAGCACTGCACACCAGCCCAATTGCAGGTGCATTGTTGAGCTTAGACGGATCTTTGAAACATCACACCAACGAGGCCCGGGTCACCTAGACTTAGACTTGTTCAACACCCCGCTGAAGGGAGGTATAAGAAACTATATCCTGCATCTCAGGCATGGCGTCTTCTCATAGTTCCCCTTCTTTCTGAATTCGGCTCCCAAGTTGCGTTCGTACAGGTAAAGGGTCCTACTGCATCCACCTCCCAACACTGCTTCATGCTGGATCGCCAATGAGCTGAAAAAGAGGCCACACATCGGGGGGGGGGGCGGGGCGGCTCACCAAAATACATCTCAGCGCTTGAAAAAACAAAGCCCATTTCCAAACACGAGAAATCCTGACCCATACCAGTTTGCCACTAACGCAAATGATTGCACTGGGTAGACGGTGTTGGGAGACTTCAGGCTAGCAGGGGGGCTTGCATGTTCTCAGCTACAGTATCTTCTAAGCAAACCAATCACACAGCACGATAAATACAAAGAACAGTCTCTATTCGCACCCTCCAACCCACTGACATGGAGCCTCGCTGAAGGTCCTTGGAAAAAGTGCTACTGTTGAAAGGACCTTTTGGTGGTTCCATGTTACAGGAAGGACGGGTAGGGAATCACTCATGCGCTGCCCTTCCGTTGGAGGGGCAATCCGCCTGGCCTCAGCACCGTGGAAGAGTAACAGCGCCACCTTGGCGTCGTCCCTCGCTTGCAGTGCCTTGAAGAGTGGGGTCTGGCCGCATCGGTCCGCCGCATTTACCTGACGAACGAGGTGGGGCAAGGCAACGCATTTTGTTTCGCGCGAGGAGCAGCTAGACGTGCCCTTCCTATCCACCTACGGACTGAATGCATACAGATATACATATACTCCGTATGACGATGTTAGTACGCAGGCTTATTTAGAAAAACAAAAAACACATGAGCACAGAGGTGCAAAATTCGGACAATTCCCCTCTCCCCTTTCGTTTCCTTTTGGGAACCATAACAATATATTGGCTATTTTGCACCAGTGTTCTGCCAGGTCATGGCTTTTAGTATTCTGGGTTCTATTTTGGATTTTACATGATGGGCTCCCTTGGTCTATAGTGCTAAGTGGAAGCACTGGGTATGTGTCAGGATAGCCGCCAAAAAATGGCGGTGGTATACCCAAAACAAGATCAAGCTCAACCAATGAATACAAAAACAAACAAACAAGGAATCAATAAACAAGCACGCCTCAGAATGGTCGGATCGAATATGAACCACACCGCTGAAGGAACCTCTCACATTGGGTCAGAGTCCTTAGGAGAAGTCGTGCTTCATGGACGCCACATTGCCACAACGTTGAGATTCAAAAGACGTCTGCACAAATCCGCACCTGGACTGTTTTTTTTCTTCTTTTTTTCCCCAGCTTCAACAATCCAACATTCCGCATGTTTCATTTTAGCATGGCATGCTACACCGCGATCGAAAACAGGAACTTGTCGTCACCCACATGACTTCCAGGGATTGCCCTCATGCGCGCCTGGCCGCCTGACGTGTTGGTCAGTGCGTGTAGTGGGGCAAAGCCATGCATGGGAGCAAAGGGCAATATTTGCAATCATCCACGTGCCTTGTCTCAAGTTGAGAAAAACCACACAGTGTAACACTGAAGACACGCTGCCTCTTCCAATATAGCCTGTCTGCCGCACCACTTTGGCGATAAATGCCATAGAATGCTAGCAGGGCCGGTTGAAAGAACGGTTGCGTCTAAACAGGCCGGACCGCTGAAACAAGCTACACCTGACTCACGCCGCGCCTCAGCCTGCGCTTCCACCAAAGCCTTGGCGCAGTCCGCAGACTCGCCTGGTGTGCAGTCTGCTCCGATCGTCTGTTGTTTGGTTCGGTTTCGACTGGTTTCTCCGCCTTTAAAAGAGAGCATGACATGAAAGAGAACAACATAAAATGATATGAACATCATGTGAGACATTTCGACCTGCAAGTTCAAATCAGCCTCACGCTCCTGGTTCTCCCTGCCTGGGCCTTGCGCGAAGAACAAGGCGCTTCGCTGGTCCAAGTCCAGAGCTGAGACGTCCGCTCTGGCCTCTGAAGCACAAGTTGGGACGAAGGCGCAAGGGATCGCAAGGGCCTAGCTGGATTGTGACCACGTTCATTTATGTTCATTTTCCATTTCAGGAATTCGTAAGGGACAAACCCGCAGGCTCTTTCACATCGGGTATGGTATGAGTACACCCCGTCAGATTTGGGATGCTCGTCCAAGGACTCGTTACCAGGAGTTGTGCGACCCACTATGAGAGGCCCAAGCAGTTCTCCATAACTGGCTTGATGGCGGCACTACTCTTGTTGCACATTCTCGGCCACATGAAGGTGTTTCAGTGGAATGTCATGCAGGGCCCGCGCCGTTGACAGTACCACCAATCACCAGGTTTCGCAACATGCCCAACCATGCTTCACAACATCAAGGTGCAAATCTGCATGCTTGACAATCTGTGCTGATCTGAATGCCTGCAATTCATCGTCCGTTCCCGTCAAAGTGCAGGGCGCTTCGCTTGTGGGACAGGTCCGCTTCTGTCCGGAAAGACACTCACTCAATGTGTAACATGTGTCCGCTTTTTAATTTGACGTAATGAGTTGGACCCCAAGAACATCCAGCTATCGAGCCAAAGAGCAATATTTAGGTGTCGTGCAAATAGATACGCACCAAGCTTTCGACACATCCCCACGTTGCCCTAACATTTCTGAAATGGATGTTTCTAGGGTTCCACACACACAAATTCGCATGGTGGTAGTTTTGTCATTTGAGAGTCCTTAAACCGACGGAATGGCCTCCAGAAGCTGGTGCAGGCACGGCAGCTGCTGGCTGCTCCAATGCAGCGCTGTGCGGCCCTCTGCGTCCTGAATTGGTCGCAAGCAAAGACAGGCGTCCACATAAGCCATAGACATGCTTAGATTCTACTGGGGTATGGGCTTCCCAGAAGCTGGGATGCAGTCCCAGGGGTGGGCCTCAGGGTACATGACTTTAGGACACAAAACACATAGAGTTGTTGCCCATATACCAAAAAAGTAATCGTACACCAGCCACCGGGGTGGGGCGGGGTAGGAAACATCAAGTAAAGTAAACCGTGCAAAGGGCTTGCGGGTTAAGGAGTATGACTTGCTCAAAACTAGGAAAGCAAGGCGATGATAAGTTTCTGAATCACTAGGCCCTTATTCAGTGCCCCCAATATGGGGATGGCCTCTGGGATGGACAACAACTGGAACCTAACAAATGTCATCAGCCATTCTTAGGTGTCCTCGTCCCGTCCGTCCCGAAGGCAGACTACTCTGGGAGATTGATTCGCAGCAAATACATTTGCATACCAGTCCGACAGCTATGTCATTTCCAACAATCATGAAGATGGCACCAAGACCAGCCCTTGTAGATTAGCGAGCACGTTGACATTCTAGCTGGTTATTCGCAATGTGCGGAACACGTCCACCGGTTTTGAAGCAACCACTTATCGTGGCAGAAGTCGCGGCTTTATTCCAAGCCTGGAATGGAACCCACAAGACAGGTGGGTTGTCTTGAATAATGAAGGAAGCCCCAACGGCAGCAAGAAATCAGTGACTTTCCATCAGGTTCCAGCCTGGCGGTCAACTTGCGCCTGGCGGGTCAGCAAAAGCGAAATGCAGCTCTCGCTGCCGCAATGCGCAGCCAGCATCAATGGGGTCCTGCCGAAGCCCAGAGATGAGGGTTTTCGGTCAAGTGGCGACCGGCAAAAGCTGAAGCATAATTCACGCCCACGACCCCTTTGTACTGCTCATTTGACCCAGGGTTGCAGGAACACACTTCACATGTCCGACGCCAATGCATCCGTCGCCACTTACTTGAGTTACACCCAATGGGCAGCATCATGGGAAGATTCAGCTGTTGCGACAAAGCTCACTGTTGAGCCTGCCAGTGTTTGTGCATGTCCTTTGGTGGGTGTCACTGGTATTTAAGTGTTGTTGCTTCCTACATCCTGGCATGAGATCCAAGTTTCACCAAGGCACAAACGGATAACCCCGCTGCAAATTCGCTTACATGCCTGCCTACTGTAGACAAAGACTAAAACTAGAGCAAGCCCAAACCAAACTCAAAACAACCGGCAAGCAACTGACTCACTGACTACCCAACCAACCCACTGGAAACAAAACAATCACTCTCCAAAGAACGCTCCCTGCGCCAGGGTCTCGACAAAACATGTCCATCCCTTCGTGTAATCTGGCGCAGCGCTCACGCGCAGCCGCACAGGCAGTCTTTGAGTCACAAGTAAAACCTGTAAAACATAAGACTCAAAAGTGTGGCCGCGCCATGTTGTGGTTGGGACTTCGGACTGCTGCCTACTGATCTTCAATCGGCAGAATTCGGCCAAGCGTGGGTGGTAGCAAGCGTGGCTGGGGAGGGCACTCCGAATTCACGTCCTGCAGTCTCCATCCAGGACGTCCACAGTGGCACGCGCCTCCAACAGCAAAGACGCAGCGCCAGTCGCACCTGACCGGCCCGAGCCAGTCAAATGCCTTGGTTTTCCTCGACTGACCGATCCTGACTTGCGATGGCCCCAGGGAGACCCCATCACATGTTAACCGCCTAATGATTTTTTAGAAAGCGCTACCTTGTTCATGTCCAGGGCTGGTTAGGAGCAATCTAGTCGGAAAAACGACTAGGATTTAGTCACCACTACCCGTGAAGCGCCAGTATCAGGTGCCACAATGTTTTTCATGGCATCAAACAAGCGCAGCCTGGGCAACAAGCAGTCTTAACAAAGAGGAGAATCCAACGTAGTCACGAAAGGGGCCATCGGTTTTGTCAAGATGTCTCAATCCGTTTCGGCCACCTTTCAGGGCGGCCGTGTGTAGCGCCGTCCGCCGCCGCTTGCCGCTGCGGGTGTCCAGGCTCAGCCTCAGGCTGAACACCGAGAGAGTCAAGTCAGTCAAGGACAGGGACGTGAAAGAAGCATCCATCAAATAAAATCAGGTGGCAAAACGAAGCCTAAGGTTCAGGGGAAGCACGACGTTTTCATCTTTGGATGCTGCTCTTAAGAGTCTTCAATGACATAAGATATCTGACACTTGCCCTCAAGGTAGAGTCATGCAAGAACCATGCGTTCTGTTGGCAAACGCAACAAATTGACGAGTTTGGGCATAAGGGACAGCGCAGTGCCTAGACTTGCTGCGGCTGTTCAGCCAGACATTTTACCCTTCATCCGCCAGTGAAATGGAAATGACAAAGGAAGCAAACACTAGTGCCCGTTGCTTCGAATCGCAAGTATGAGCCCTGCTGGCAAATGACGACAAAACTAACACACTCTTATGGTAGTTGGCTGCACAACGCTTGAGGCAATTCTGAGCCGGACCATGGGAAGTGCATTGCGCATGCGGTACATTGCGATGGTAAACCCGATGTTCATCAAGCTTGACATAGCTTTGTGCACAGGCGATGCGAAGAATGGACCCCACCAAATGCATTTTGCATGCCAAGCTTGTGCTACAAAAGCGACATCTGCAAGCTAAAAGTCAAGCCAGCACAAAGGTAGGCACTCTGCGCGATGCACTTGCTCCACACCAACGCTATTGAACAACCACATGCTGCGCTTTTGACCTTTGCCCTCATTCAGTGCCAGAATTAATCAGCATGCTACATCTGGTCTGGAGCAAGGATGATGCGTGTCGTCGCGTCCTACATGTGCCCTGGCTTGGAAAAAGTGCACTCTGAACTGGGGCGAGAGCTGTCCTTGCTGCATAAGACTGGACTTGCTGAAACCGTGCTTGGCAAAATTGCGCAGGCAATCCAAGTGAGCGAATGCACTTGTCAAGGCCATGCAAGGCAGTGGCAAATTCCAGCACGTCTGGAGTTGAATAATTGTAGAAACACTCCTGAGCGATGCAAGTGAATGGCAGATTTGGGCGAGGCTCCCAAGCAAAACCCTGCGGCCTAACGCCACAGCGCCTTTGAGTGACGCTCTGTGTCATCACTACGTACGCTCAAAACCCACAGCATTTCTTTGCGTTGCATTTGAGCCCGCCGCAGCGCCAATCTAATGAATGATTCATACCCCGGTAGCCTTAATGCTGTTAATTCGGGATTTGAAGACTAGCCAATCCACTTTCTGATGAATGGAACTGCCTTTCATCGTAGCTTCAAGCTGCCCTCTCTTCAAAGATAGTGGCAGCTGAAATAAACTTATCCGACAAGAAAGCGCACCTCCTGGCCCTTCCATACGTCTGTCAGCGTCAAGGGTTACAGTATGCATATTCCAAATGTGGGCAGGAAACGTCATTGTTGACATCCTTCAGGGATTGCTGCGTGCTTCAAGATCACAGAATAAACTATGGGAAGCTCGGCCGCTCAGTGTCCGGCAGCTTCGGCGATGCCACCCCCGCCCGCTGGGCAACTGAGTCAGCGGCTTGCGCTTACCATCCAGCAGCACACGGCAGGCTGAGCCCTGGAGATAGAACTGGAGCAGGTGACTGCACGCTGCAAAGGTAGGCTGTTGCGACGAGCAATTTGTTTTGTGTGCACTCGTACTTATCTTTCACCAAACAAACACAATCTGTGCGGAAAGCAAGATACACACACAAACCAACACAACCATAACGCCAACGCAAACAAATTACACAACAACAAGAAAACAAGTACAAACCCACCACACAAACCAATAACACACACACAAACCACAACTCATAGACAACCACACACACAAACAAACAAACAAACAAACAAACAAACAAACAAACAATCAAACAAACAAACAAACAAACAAAAAAACACGTATATCCCCAGCACAAGCTCAAACGCAAACACAAGCACGCATGCAAACACAAAGGTTCACACAAAGACACACACACACACACACACATACACATGCAATCACAAACACACATGCAAACACGTTTGCACACACAGACACAGACAAAGACAAAGACACAAACACCGACACCGACACAAACAGACACAGACACATCGCCACAGACAAAGGCCCCCTTAGAAGGTCCTACTGCAGTCCCCGATGTCTGCCTCTGGATCTCGCCGAATGCCATGGCAGAGGAGCTCTGAGAACAGCTCCTCCGAAACATGAGTCACCGTTTAGTCAGAGCCTTTGTTTGCAACTCGCTGGATGTCTGTTTCATGCTATTCTATTCCATGTACGCCTCACTCTTCAGAGACACAGTGGCTTGGTCAACTTGCGTGACGGATATAGACGTTCTAACACATTTCCAGGAACCAGGTCCTGCATATTGGCAGGTCCTCTTTAGCATGTGTCGAATCACCGTAGCATCGCTCATCCTTGCACGCAAACTCATATTCATTTGATTGATTGTATATGGCAAACAGCCCAGGATACCGCGGGCGTTGCGCACACTAGCCCGCTCCACAGGCTAGCTGCGGTTGCTGCCCGACTTTTTGTGACGCCCTCAACCAGAACATTGAAACCTGAAAAGGAACTATTGATCAAATCCACAAGCTAAATAGCCACTTGGGTCCTGGATCCAAAATCTATCATTGTCAGGGAACTTTTGACCGTATTCTTGGACCCAACATCCAAAATTGCCAGAGAACTTTTCTCGGACATCTTGGAATGCAGGCAGTCCCCAACTCCAAACTTTAATCGTGGATTTGGGTGTCTGAATGCTGGATTCAGAATGATGGATCCAAGGATGCAGGAGTTCTGAGAGAAGTCCTGTGGAAATCTTCGATTTTGGATCCAGGATTCTGAATCCTGGACTTAGATTTGCGCGATGTCTCACAAATATTTGGCAAGCCGCAAGCTTCAATGAAAAAATATTTCCCGGGCAATCATGAATCTTGAATCCCGAAATCATGTGTTCCTTTTGTGCAAGAGGTAACCGCATTTGTTTTTGCCGGCCCAGTTTCTGTGTTCCCCGCAGTTGAATGGAACTGCTTTCTGCCCCAAACCAGAGTTAAATGGTTTCATAGCAGCTAGCCTTCAGCTCGTTCTACACCCATTTCTGGAGTCAAGCTTCGTGAACCCAGAAAAAACATGTTCCTTTTATTTATGCAAGGGGCACCCAAATCTGATTTTGTTGGCCCAAACAATATTGGGACATTGCGGCCTACTGACGTACTGACACAAGGCAAAACGGGGGCTCCTGGTGGGAGGTATATATGTTCCAAGTTGGCTTAGGGTTGGTTTATGGTGGGTTTGGGGTTCGGGTTGATTTAGGGTTGGGGTCGGGGTTAAGGTAGGGGTTGTAGGGTGGGTTGGTTTGGGGTAGGATGTTGCGAGAGGTGCTGGGGTGCAGGTTCACGGGGTGAAAGGGGTGAACTGGGCACGCGGTGCTGGACAGCATCCCCAGAACTGCCAGCATTTTTATGATGCAGATGATGCGGGGGAGGGGGGGAACCCTACCCTTGCCTGGGGTTGGGGGGGGGGGGTTGGGTGGTTGGGTGGGTGGTTGGGGTGTAGTTTGGGTTTGTCTAGGGTTGGTTTGGGGTGGGTATAGATTTGTTGGGTTCGGGTTGGTTTAGGGTGGGTTTAGGTTGGCTTGGGGTACGTTTAGGGCTGATTTAGGTTTGGTTTAGGGAAGTGGGTGTAGGGTTGGGCTGTCTTAGGGTTGGTTAAGGGTTGGTTTAGAGTGGGTTTAGGCAGGGTTTTGGGCGGGTTTTGGGTTGGCTTAGGGTTGGTTTAGGGTTGGCTTAGGGTTGTGGGTTAAGGGCTACGGGTGTAGGATTGGTTTAGGGTTGGGGTTTAAGGTTGGTTGTGGGTGGAGTTGTCCTGCGTGTTGGGATGCAAGGGTGGGAGTTCAGGGGCTCGAGGGGTCGGGGGGGGGGGGGTGAGGGGACCCTACCCTTGGGGGGGGGGGTTGGTGGCCTGGAACAGATATCCGCCGACATTGCTCGGCGTGTCGGATGGATAGAGGATAACCCCCCCCCTAACCGCCCCCCGCCCGACGTCTATTACGTAGGTTTTTTGGGGGGGAGGGGGGGGGGGTGCCCCACGTACCGCGCGGCAATTTGATGACGTTCCACTAAACGTAGTCTTCGGGGAGCCGGTGTCGCAAAACAGGGGTCCCAGGCTCGATTCCCCCTGCCGGCTTTTTTGCTGGCTTGGGCTTCCTGCATCCTTTTGCCGAAAATCTGGAAAAATCAATGTTTTTGGACGTCCTCTTTGCGAAAACGCTGGAAAAACCGTGTTTTTTTTGGCGGGAAATACTGGGGAGCAAAGGGGAAGTGCAAGGATACATACATACATACATACATACATTACAGTACATTACATTACATTACATGACATTACATGACATTACATACATTACATGCATTACATTACTTAACTTACTTACTTACTTACTTACTTACTTACTTACGTACTTACTTACATACTCACATACAGGCATACATGCATACATACATACATGCATACATACATACATGCATGCTTACAGACATACATGATCACAACGCCTCACTCCCTGAGTTCCTGGACTTTAATCCTTTTGGGAAGACCATGTTAGTTGTAAACAAAAAGCTTTAACTTTCCTTGGCCAATCCACTCAGGAAGTGAGAAGCTAGCAACCCTAAAGTTGCTCTTTGGAATCATCGTCCTATCCTGAAATCCCACATTGTTTTACACCTCACCCGAGTCGCTGAGCCGGGGAGACCTATGGGTACATGAACCACACCTACATACATACATACATTACATACATGCATACATACATACATACATACATACATACATACATAACATACATTCATACATACATACATACATGCATGCATGCATGCATACATACATTTCGTACATACATACATACATGCATGCATACATACATACATACATGCATTACATACATACCTACATACATGCATACATACATACATACATACATACCTTACATACATACATACATATATTACATTACATTACTACCGCACGGCAATTTGATGACGTTCCACTAAACGTAGTCTTCGGGGAGCCGGTGTCGCAAAACAGGGGTCCCAGGCTCGATTCCCCCTGCCGGCTTTTTTGCTGGCTTGGGCTTCCTGCATCCTTTTGCCGAAAATCTGGAAAAAACTCAATGTTTTTGGTCGTCCTCTTTGCGAAAACGCAGCAAAACCGTGCTTTTTGCGGAAAATACTGGGGAGCAAAGGGGAAGTGCAAGGATACATACATGCATACATTACATTACATTACATTGCATTACATTACATTACATGACATTACATGACATTACATGACATTACATACATACATACATTCCAGTACGTAACTTACTACTTTAACTTACTTAGCATACATACTTACTTACATACTTACTTCTTACATACATACCTCACATACTGCATACATGCATACATACATACATCCATACATACATCATGCTTACAGACAAAATGAATCACAACGGCAATCACTCCTCCCTGAGTTCCTGGACTTTAATCCTTTTGAAGACCATGTTAGTTTAAACAAAAAGCTTTAACTTTCCTTGGCCAATCCCACTCAGGAAGTGAACCCAATTTTAAAGTTTCCCGTGTGCTCTTTGGAAATCAATCATGGTGGTCCTAAATCCCACATTGTTTTACACCCTCACCCGAGTCGCTGAAGCCGGGAGACCTATGGGTACATGAACCACAAAACCTTACATACATACATACATTACATACATAAATACATTACATACATACATGCATACATACATACATACATACATAACATACATTCATACATACATACATACATGCATACATGCATGCATACATACATTTCGTACATACATACATACATGCATGCATACATACATACATACATGCATTACATACATACCTACATACATGCATACATACATACATACATACATACATACATACATACATTACATACATACATACATACATTACATTACATTACTACCGCGCGGCAATTTGATGACGTTCCACTAAACGTAGTCTTCGGGGAGCCGGTGTCGCAAAACAGGGGTCCCAGGCTCGATTCCCCCTGCCGGCTTTTTTGCTGGCTTGGGCTTCCTGCATCCTTTTGCCGAAAATCTGGAAAAACTCAATGTTTTTGGACGTCCTCTTTGCGAAAACGCTGGAAAAACAGTGTTTTTTTGCGGGAAATACTGGGGAGCAAAGGGGAAGTGCAAGGATACATACATACATACATACATTGCATTACATTACATTACATTACATTACATGACATTACATGACATTACATACATACATACATTACATACATACATACGTACATTACATTACATGACATTACATTACATTACTCACATTACATTATTACATTACTTACTTACTTACTTACTTACTTACTTACTTACTTACTTACTTACTTACTTACTTACTTACTTACTTACTTACATACTCACATACATGCATACATGCATACATACATACATGCATACATACATGCATGCTTACAGACATACATGATCACAACGCCTCACTCCCTGAGTTCCTGGACTTTAATCCTTTTGGGAAGACCGTGTTAGTTGTAAACAAAAAGCTTTAACTTTCCTTGGCCAATCCATTCAGGAAGTGAGAAGCTAGCAACCCTAAAGTTGCTCTTTGGAATCATCGTCCTATCCTGAAATCCCACATTGTTTTACACCTCACCCGAGTCGCTGAGCCGGGGAGACCTATGGGTACATGAACCACACCTACATACATACATACATTACATACATGCATACATTACATACATACATTACATACATTACATACATACATACATACATTACATACATACATACATACATTACATTTTACATACATACATACATACATACATACATGCATATACATACATACATACATACATACATACATACATACATACATACATACATACATACATACATACATACATACATACATTTACATTACATACATACATACATACATACATACATACATACATACATACATACATACATACATACATACATACATTACATACATACATACATACATTACATACATTACATACATACATACATACATACATACATACATACATACATACATACATACATACATACATACATACATACATTACATACATACATACATACATACATACATACATA